TAATGGAGTTTCACCCTAGTGATATTAAAAACTCTAGTGAAAAACATATTTCACAAACTACTGCATAGTGCGAATATTGGGGTTTTCACTGAGTATTACGGTGAAACTCCATTGATATATGCGTTCCTGTACAAATATATTGCTTCTATTATTATGAAACTTGTTGAGTTCAGTAGTCACTTCGGTTGAGATTGATTAACGTTTATCTTGCGACTCGTATGATTTAGCATTTGAGAAGTGTACAATTTTTTCCGCAAAAAAAATCGGGAAAATTTTGTGATTTTACGTAGACTTTTTCCCTGTATGTGTTATGTCAGTACTGGGAAGGATATTTGGGTATACAACGGGTGGTCAAGAATCGACATCGCTATCATATCAACATCGGAGTAGTAGAGCTAGCGATGATTCGGCCGAGGAACGGTAGGAGGGATTGGCAGTTGTGGACTTTTGAAATTTGTGGTTGAGAATCAATTTAATAGGGAGTGTTTGAGATATGAAGCTTTTGTCGAAGAAAATTGGACGGTTGTTTGAGTATTTCTGGCAATCTCATTGGAAAGAAATTGCGGATTTTTTTCCAGAATTTTCCGGATTTTTTCCGAATTTTCCGGAAATTTTCGGAACTCATGAAAATTTTGTAGGTCTTTCTTGTGATGTGCAGGCACAGCTTATCTGAGATGGCGCAAATCCACGGTCGAATTAACGAACGGTTGAAGGACCTCGGCAGTCTCAATGCTACGGCGTGTGAGGGTTTGGTAGAAGACCTCAGGGAGATCTCGGAGATACTCCTATGGGGCGAACAGAATAATCATCAGGAGCTGTTCGACTACTTCTGCGAGAAGGAGATGCTGAGCAGTTTTGTAATGTGGGGAAATGGGAAAAATTTAAGTTTTTTTGCGTGAATTCTGAAGTTTATATTTCGATCTAAATCATCGGAGTTGCACTCGTTTAACGCGAAGTTGTGTAGTATTGCATGAAAATTGTGCCATGTATATGTTTTCGTGATGAACGATATTACAATTGTTTTCCAACCCAAGTGGAATATAAGTATGTTTTTCACTAGTGTTTTTCATATCACTAGGGTGAAGCTTCATCGTGTGAGGTGACAAATTATTGGTTTATCGAGGTAAACCGTAGATTTTCTTATCACTATAATAGTGAAAACCATTTTGGAGACCTTTTGAGAAAGTTGTTATTCAATGGAGTTGCACCCGTTTTACGTGAAGTGGCGTAATACTCGGTGAAAAACGCGGTGATATGCAGTAGTTGTGAAATATATTC